CACAGAGTCTTCTGGTGTCTGTCTGGCATGCAATTAAAAAGGCCAGTTGCACAAAATTCCCCCTGTAAGCAACATTGTCTTTGATACAGGTTTGGATTTTGTAGATTGGGTATATATTTTAAGACAATGTCAGGACCAGGAGAGGATTAGTGAAGGTTTGTAGCAACCTGGACCTCTTACAACTTGAAGACAACAAGCAAGTGTGATAGTGGCCTTTTGCTGACCTTCCAGGAGCAGTGTGCATGGGCTGGGTGAGTTGCTAGTCCCAGAGCTTTTCCAAATAGGTTGTGGAAGATCCAACATGTTATAGGATAGAAGAGACCCAGCATCCCAGAGGGCATGTTGTCCCCTCAACATGAAAGAGGAGTTCCCAGTAGTCAGACCCAAAACAATGGTCTGTGCCTCAGAGGAATGAGGTTCTTCTAAAAGAAGAGATGTCCATGAAGAAGCAGCATAGGAAGACTGAGAAGAACAAGATGAAAAGAAAGAGCACTGAGCTTTTTGCCTGTTCTTGGGGCCAACCACAGGAGGAGAGGGGGGGAAAACTTACTTGGAAACACATGCCCAGGTCTTCTTTAGCCGATAGATGGAGTTGGACTGCAGTGCAGAAATGATGGCCCTCAAGGAGGAAAAATTCTTCAGGATCCTACATTCCTGTGAAAGGAGTGGTTAGAAATACAGGAGCATTAAATGTCAGCATTACAAGCATGTTAGTGCTCTTCTGTTTGACCAGAGTCATGCTTGCTGCACATTCTCACTGCTAAGCAGGCAGCTGAACAAATATTGAGCATCAAAAAACATCACTCCCCTCTCCAGCCACCAACACTTTGTGGGCTTTGGCACTTTTATCTTGTTTTCCTCTACTTTCATGTTATTTGTGGTGATGTTGCAGTGTTACAGCTTCCAGCTCTCCTAGTGAAAACACGAGTGGAACTGAGTGCATGAAGCCAAGCTCAAAAGCACAAATGTTACCTCTTCTTTAAAAGCTCTTTATAGTTACCAAACCCTTTTTACCCTTCTGGCAAGGAACCAGGCTTTGCCTCTTTGTATGTGGTACTTAAAATGTAAAGCCTCAGTCATCCAAGTGTCAATTAAAACTGCAGACATGAGAAGGAATAACCTGTTATTCAAGTACATACACACTGTTAAAGAGAAAAACCTTCCCACCTTTTCCAGAGTTGGGATCAAATCCTGCCAGAGACAGGTTCACAGCTTATGCAGCTTCTCTGGGGCAGAAGCTTTGATGGCAAAAGATACTGAAAAAGCTTAATTATCAAAAGAATCTCACAGATTCCTGGCAAAGCAATGGAAGCAAGAAGCTGGGAGGAAGTCTGGCCTGTGACTGTTGAGGAAGCCCCATAAATGTGTTGGTGGTTCTGCTCTGGGCACCACAGACTTAAGAAACTCTTGCAGATACAAAGCTCTCACAAACAGGTGTCTGTACATGCAGACAAAGCAGACAACACACATGTGCCTGTCCCATGTAGATGAGCACTTACTCATCTGACAATTCCCCTTCTGCAAATTTTTCTGGGGCTGCTTATGACACCAATAATGCTGGTTATGTAAAGGATCCTTTCAGTCAGAACAGGCACTTTGTTTCCTTTGGAGGGTGGGACAAACATAAAGCCACCTTAGCATAAACAGAAGTCAGATCTTAATATGCAAACAACTCTATGAGTTGCATTGAAGTTGGCTCAACAACTATATATATTTAATCTCTTTTATTTATCTGAAAGAAACAGAACCAAAAAACTCTCCAGGCCACTTACGAGGAGACATTTAACAAAGTGTGGCTCAAGAAGGCTGACTGAGCAGACAGCATTTGAAGCAGGTTGGCAGTTGGGTGAGATAAAGACCAAGCTCAAGATCATGTGTGGAGGACAGACAAGACCTGAAAGCTATTTTTGCATGGTTTGGGGTCAAATAAGCCACATAACTGCTTCTCTTCAGGGACTAGCACGTTTGAAAAGGTGATCCCTCTTTATGTTCAACCTGAAATTCAGGCTGGGGGGAAGGTAGATTTAGAGGCACAAATTCTCAGCATCTTTTTGGGTTGGTTTTTTTGTGTGTGTTTGTTTGGGTTTTGCTTGTGGGGTTGTTGGGTTTTTTTTCCCAACACAAGCACAGTTTGGACTGGAAGATCCAATTTGGAACCACACAGTTTGGAACTTCATGGTGTATGTTGTGTAATTTAAAGTACTTTTAGGAATTCACTATTGGATTTTGTGTTCTCAGTTATTTAACTGACTGCAGACTAAACTTTAGCAGGTTTTCATTTGTATAGGAGAAGAATTTTTAAGACCTCTTTGAATAACTTTGTTTCCCACTGTGTCCTTCACAAGGGAAAAACCAGAAAGAATCTTGTGCAGAAGCAACTTGGTTTTTTGTGAAAAAAATTAAACCTAACAGGATATTAATGATTGCACTTTCACTTTTTATTTTTAAAGAAAATATTGTGAGTGAACTTGGCTGCTCCTGCTCAGGAACCTTAGATCTAGGTGGAGCAGAAAGGGCTGGCAGTTAGAAAAAACATTCAGTTTATCTTGTAAACCAAGAAACTGGATCCAAAAGTCAGGAACTGATAACAAACATGGAACTCCATGCTGCTAAGTTACAGTGTCAGGAATATCTGCACTTCAACGTGTGGGTTATTTTCTAATTCAGGCATCTCACTATTCAAAACACTCATTTGCACACACAAAGCAGGCACCTTCCTTCAGAAGCAGGCAGCTCATGTGCCACTGGCTGTCCTACCTCTGCAATTATTGCAGAGCCTGCACGTGCTTTTTTCATGTGCTTAACTAAGACTGGAGCATTTAGTTGTGTGTATGAATTAAGGGAGAAGAACTGGTGCAGCAGAGGTGGAGAGCAATGCTTTCCATCCACAGAACAAATCCAAAGACCTGGCATCCCTGCTGGATGAGCAGGAAGCTGCTTCATCACTGCTTTCCCAGCCTGCAGACCAGCCTCCCACCCCCCTTTTAGATGGCACCCTCAGCAACTTGAAGACCTGCACACAGAAAATAGGCATCAAGCTTCCTCATCCATCCACAGGGGCTCTAAAGCAACCATGGGATGTTAACAGAAATGAGTTGACCTAAGTGCCCAAAGTGAGGGGAATGACTGCTTCCCATACCAGCTCCCTGACCCACACACTGGGTCCAGAGTTGAGGTGCCAGGACTAACAAAGCTGCTCTCAGGAAGCACAGAAGTGCATTGTCATGGTTGGAAAACCTCAGTTTGGCTTGAGCTTTTCATGGCTGCTGATTTGTACACCTGGGAAAGAATCAGTGTGGTTCTTAAAACAAAAGCCAGCACAGGTCCATAGGAATGTCCCTTAAATATTCTCTTCAAAAGAGAGATCTAATTTGCTGCCACCTGCCCGGGCCTCTGAGAGGAGTTAAAAAGCTGACAGCAAAATATTAAAAAGATCTACAAAATTAGCAAACTAGAGTTAAGAAGGGAGACAAAACCCTGTCATGCAAAGATTAAGAAACACACAATGTGCTGCAAGACTAAGGAATTGAAGCAAAGAGGGAAAATGTGTTGGAGACACACGTGAGACAATGACAAAGTAGAAAGATGAGGAGGCTGGTACCATATTGTAACACTACTTCTTTTTTTCTGGCCACTGCTTGCACTTCTCACACCCTCTGAACCCAGCTGGTTTGAATACCTGATGTAAACCATGAATAACTCATGGTTTACATATAACAAATGCCATTTCAGCCTCAAGGATTCTTTGAAACAAAAGAGTGCAAACAATAATTTCATTTCTTTCCATGTCAAAGAGACTGCTGCTTCCTAGGGGTTAAGTTAGCTCTTTGTCTGTACTTCTTTAAAACCTTGGGTTTCCTTTATTTTCACACATATATGGAAACAGGAACAATTGTCATCCATCAGATCTCATTCCAGGAGGCAGGAGAGGGAGGATGATGCTCCCTCACATGACTGACAGGGTAGCACAGAGCTTGTTCTGACTGTGCCTGCACCACTGCCAGGCCTGTTCCATTCTGCTTCAACTTTCCTCTGAAAACAACTCTTATCAACCATCATCCCTCTCACTGATATGAGCAGTATTTTCTTCCTAAGGAAGTGAACCACTTGAATTTATACCTATTTTTGCCATAAACATGACATTATCAAGTACATGGCATTCCTCATTCCTCACCCTCACTCCCAGCCCTGGGAAGAGACAAGCACCAATTTCCATGGTGGGGAAGGAACTAAGGAGAGGAAGGGTGATACTTCACCTGCTGTTACCAAGAAAGTCAGTCAAAAATAGAAAGAATTAGAACTAAGATGTTCCCTGGCCCAGGACCAATGCACACAACCCTTTCTCCCTCCCAACTCCCTCCCAAGGAACATTAAACAGCCTAGAAGAAATGCTTTACATGTGCAATATGAATCCACTTCTCAATGATCTTGGCTCTTTGCTGTGTTTTGAGTTCTTTGGTCTTCAGGATAGTGCTAAGAACACACTTGGTAACTGCATTGAACTGGGTGATGGTGGCTCTGATGGTGGGTACCAGGTGCTTGTTTTCTTCCTTATCCCTTCGAGACCAGATGCTTCCCAAGCAGTGATAGGGCACAACTTTCTTGAAGAGTTTCTAGAGAGAAAGAGAGGTGGGTAAGCCAGCAGGATTCTCCTAAATCTCTGTTGTCTACAAGAAGTAGTGCATCTTTGCAGTGCAAATTGGATCCATTATGGTATTAAAAGGTAAATATTGGTTTTCTTTTAGCTTAAAACATTCACTTTGACATACTCTTTACAGGCTTAATGCCCTAAAAAGACTGTCAGGTAAATAGTCCTGGGAAAAGAAGAGACACCTTTATATCAGTTGCATAACCAAGGGGAACGTTTTTTAGATCATATTCTTTTGAAGGAGATTGATACAGACAAACCAAATCAGAGCACTACGGTACTTAAACACATCTTTTAAGCTGTTCCTCACGTGTCAAATATTAAAGTTTGCACAAAAAGGCTTACACAGGATACAGGTCTAGGTTGTTGTTTTTTTTAGAAAACCCCACAAACAGCCTTCAGAATTACTGAAGGAAAAAGCCCAATGCATGAAGTGTGGATAACCAAGAAGAGCTGTGCTCTGTGTCCCAAGAGCAGACCTGTTCCAGAACACTATCATGATGTTGATATGACATATTTTGAGAAGCCCAGCACTGTTTTCCCCCAGCATTGCAAGCAGTACATTTCCCTCTACATACTGCATCCATGTATGTCAACTGTTCTGCCACAAGGTCCTCATGGAAAAGAGAGAAGTCTTCTGAACTGCTGCTCCCCAGCTCCTCTTCATCATCAAGGTTACAGGGGGAATGGTAATAGAACCCATCTGTCCAGGATGGGAAACACGAGTTAGCAAATGTATCCAGCAAACAGCAAAGCAAAGCAGATGTTTATTTTCAAACATTGCTCTTGTCTATGCCAGCAGAATTGCCCCAAGGGCTCTGCCTGATGTCATGGCCCCCCTGTGCTGCTCCTTCCAGTCAGGAAGAAGATGAGCAGATTAAATTGGCAAAGAAATGGTGGAAGGAAAATCAATTTGAGAATGGAGCTGTGCAGGGTCTCAGCAGACAAGTGGTTTGCACGTTCACTAGCAACTCTTCTGAAGGAAAATAAATCCCTCATTAGCACTGCAGGATTTTGTTAATCTGCTTTTCAGTATTGATGCATTTTATCATCTGAGGGGAAAAATAAGAAATCAAACTGCAAAGGGACAAGACTGCAGTTCTATCCCCACAATACTGCATTGGGAATGCTCTTATATCCAGATTTCAACTCCCATGTGGAGAAATAAAAGGAGATTATTAAATTAAATTAATTTTAATTAATTAATTTAATTAATTAAAAGGAGAAATAAAAGGCACTGTTTGTGCCTTCACAGGGGCTACACGTTGAACCAGGTTGATTCCAGCACCCCTCAACCTTCCTTCTCTGGGAGTTTTTCCTAGAAAAGGGAATGAGCACCTCTTTCTTCTCCATCTGCACTGGGAAGCAGTGACCAGGGGAGAGAGGAGAACTGTCCTCATCCAGGAACCTGATTTCTGAAGGGAAGGGATTTCACTGGCCTTCCTGGGTCACCTTTTGGGTCCCCCAGGTTGGGAACAAAGCCCCATTAAAACCCAAATGTGCCTTGTTTCCTCTGGTGAGGGAAGTCAAACAGAAAATCCCTGCCAATAAATCCTCTTCCTATTGGGAATGCTCTTATATCCAGATTTCAACTCCCATGTGGAGAAATAAAAGGAGATTATTAAATTAATTTTAATTAATTAATTTAATTAATTAAAAGGAGAAATAAAAGGCACTGTTTGTGCCTTCACAGGGGCTACACGTTGAACCAGGTTGATTCCAGCACCCCTCAACCTTCCTTCTCTGGGAGTTTTTCCTAGAAAAGGGAATACACTGAGCACCTCTTTCTTCTCCATCTGCACTGGGAAGCAGTGACCAGGGGAGAGAGGAGAACTGTCCTCATCCAGGAACCTGATTTCTGAAGGGAAGGGATTTCACTGGCCTTCCTGGGTCACCTTTTGGGTCCCCCAGGTTGGGAACAAAGCCCCATTAAAACCCAAATGTGCCTTGTTTCCTCTGGTGAGGGAAGTCAAACAGAAAATCCCTGCCAATAAATCCTCTTCCTAATCCCTTTTACTGTAAGGTGACAGTAACTCCAAAAGAAGGGAGGGGGGGAGAAAAAAGGACTTGTTGAAGACTCACAAGGAAAATACTGAGTTTGCTGCTGGTGAGGTTTCATTACCAAAACAAGCAGAGCATTTCAGGGTGTGCTGTGCAAAGGTTCATGTCCAGTTGCAGCAGAACACACATGAAAGCAACGAAGGCAGATACAGCGATGCTTCCATCACTGCTTTCCAAAATACTTTGGGTTTCCTTCCTTCATCCATTAGCAAAATCTAATCATCAACGTAAACTGCTACGATTTGGAGGGAACAACCAGTAACTACAGGCTGTGCCAGATTTCCATCTGGACATTCCAATTGCACAACTTATTGACAGGGCTAAAAGGAATCAACGGAGACCTCTGCTCCTGCTTGATTTTCTGTGACTGTTTTGTAACAATATGCATGATGAGATGGGCTGCTATTGACCTGTGACAAGAGTCACACTTTTTCTCTCTCTCTCTCTTTTTGGCTTTGTAACTCCTCCTTTTCCTCTCAGCTCTTGAAAGCCAACTGAAAACCCTCCTCGCTGGGTCGCATCCCTACTCAGAACCTCACAACCCCCTTAAAATTGGGTTCTGGAGCACAAGCCAAGTTTTTCCTTTTCTTCTTTCTTGCCTCTTTTCCTCCTTTCTCTCCCACCTCCACAAATGTGTAAGTAGCCTTCTCCCTACTCCCCAGGAAGTTGGAATCCCCTTGTACTGTAATATCTCATCATCTTCAAATGACCCTGACCCATTCAGCCCTCTCAAAGCCCAGGTGCCCCCTTCACTTCAACAACCAGGTGCTCCTTCTGAATTTTCCCTCTCTGACTCACCTTGTTTCACTGCCCAAACTGCCAGCAGGGAGGCCAGGAACAGCCTTTATTATCTGGTACTACAAGCTAACCTACAGGTATGGCTGATGGCAGCACTGAATGAAGGTCTGATCACACCAACTGCAGGCTTAGGGCTGAAATTTGTACATTCAGAGGAAAATGCAAATGTTCTAGAACAATAATTATCAGCAAGACTTGATGGCAGATAACAAACATATTAAGAGCTTTGAAAGAAATCTCTGAAATGGACAAATATGAAGTTCTGATAAAGTGACAACTCTCAAACTCTTCTCTATAGACTCCACAGGCTATTGGATTCTCCTCACCTTTTTTTTTCTAACAGCCTCTCTTTTGCCACAACTGGGAACAGTTTATCATTCAAATTGATCTGCCCATAACTCAGAAAAGAACTTCAGCTGTCACTTGAGGAAACAAATGCAGAAGCAGGGCTCCTGGGTCCTCCTGATGGCTTTGAACAACAGAAGAACCCAAATACAGCTCTCCTGAAGAAAAGAAGAACCCAAATACAGCTCTTCTTCATCCTTAATATAAGCACTTCATCTGTTCTGCAGGAAGGACACTGCTTTAGCTCACCTTTTATGGCTGGACTGACTGAGATAGGGGAGGTCAAAGGGTGTGCCCCAAACTGGAAGAAAACCTACAGCTCATTTTGGATGGGAGTGTGGGAACCTGCTGGCTGCCTATGATTGCCTCTACCCATCATACTGCCTTCTTAAGGCCTGTGACTAAATTTAACCAGTTCTTTAATAAGCTTTCATGGCAAAATGAGAGGAAAACCTTGGTAACTCTTCGTTACACCAGCCAGGAAACCTGAGCTCCCATGTCAAGCCTCCTGGGGCAAGTGGGACAACCCAGATTTCTTTGTTTGACCTGTGGGAACCAAGCCCAGGAAGGGACATCACTAGGCACATATTAGCAATCCTGGTCACCTACCTGTGTTCAATAAGGAAAACTCCTGGGATCTAGGTGGTTACTCCTTTTTATGGATGTGTTAATTTGGCATTTCCCAGCACTATGCATGGACATGGTATTTCTGGAATATCCGCCAGGCACGATGTTTTTATGGGATGAATTCTTTGTTGGGTTGTTTTTTTTTCCCCTCATTTCCTTGATTACATGAATGAATCCCTCTCCCCCCTCCACCAAAGCTGGAAGTTGATTCTATTTCTCAGCCACACACTACGTGAGCTCCTAGGACTCTGCTGCTTGTGCCACAGGAAGCTTTCTGACCAGGACAAGGGGCTGTGCCAGGCTGCAGGCTGCACACAGCATATTTGTGTTACTACAGTTCACTATTGTTTCAGTAGATTGTGACCCCCAGTAACGTAAGTTTTTCCTCTGTCCTTGGATACCAGCAGCCAGCCACTCAAATAGGAAAAAACAGCCACAGACACTTCCTTTGACATGATGGTAACTAGGAAGAAAAGCTTCATGACAACAAGGCTTTGGTCCCAGCTCCGTATTCTGCTTTTTTTTGTTGGTTTGAGCTCTTCTTGGGAGGGGGGAGGGTTGAAATGAGAAGGCCAGCTAAAGAGCAGCTGTGTGTTTTAACTCAATGACATGCAAACTGCACTGGCAATTAACCATGTAGCTGCTGCAGCAACCTCAAAGCTTTGGCTCAACATTCAATGAGTGCTGGATTTCCCAACCCACCCCAAAACGAAGAGGCACCTGCACCCTACGACTGTTTCATCCCACACAGAACCTGCAGCCTCAGACAGAGACTGATTTTTTTTAAGAAGAAACAAGAAAAGAAGTCACAGGTGAGCCTCACAGTATTGCCAATTAACGTGAGAGTTGATGAAATGTACTGCACATACATCCCTGTGGTACCCTGCAGCCTGGGAGAAGAGAGAAGGAAGTGGTAACTCACCATCAATTTCCAAATCTTGGTTCTGGAACTGCTCCAAGAGGTTCTGTGCCCTCTTCTCTGGGCCAGAGCCAGGCATATACTTCTTCAGGTAATCCATCACCTTCAGCAAACAGGTGTAGTCAGGTGGCTCTCTGAAATCCTCAGAGCACTGCTCCAGCCAGGTACGTATGATGGATGCAATGGCACTAGGAGCAAACAGAGCACACACTGCTCATCTACTGCAAGTGTTTGTACCTGCATCTGATGCAACTATTAAAACACTGACATCCACACCCCATGTAAAGACAGTTTGAAGACTTTCTGAGCAGGAAACATAATCTGTTCTTTTTACACATGGAATCTTACTAAGATATCACTTGGATTTTGCCAGGGACTTCAGTGGAGCTGCTCCTGATTTGCACTCCTACATGTGGATCCAGTGACAGCCCCCAGATGCAAACTAATAAAGAATCAAATCCACTCAAGCTATATTGAGACTCTTCTTTAAAATTCAGGATGAAAACAATGATAAAGCAATTACTAGGATGGAATAGAATAAGCTATTTCAGTTGGAAAGACCTGTGATCATCTGGCCCAACCACCTGACTGCTTCAGGCCTGACCAAAGGTCCAAGCATGCCTCTGAAACACTGCCAGGCTCTGGGCATCAACCACCATTCCAGGAAGCCTGTTCCAGGATTTGACCACCCTCTTGGTAAAGAAATGTTTCCTAATGTCCCATCTGAACGTCCCCTGAATGCAGCTTGGAACCATCCTCAGTTACCCTGTCACTGGATCCCAAGGAGAAGATCTCAGCACTTCCCTCTCCATGTCCCTCCTCAGGAAGCTGCAGAGAGCCACGAGTCAACCCTCAGCCTCCTTCTCTCCACACTAGACAGTCAAAGCTCCTCAGCTGCTCCTCAGAGGAGCCATCCAGCCCTGTCACCAGCTCTGTTGCCTTCCTCTGGATGCACTTAGGGACCTTCACATTCCTCTCCAGCCCATTTACACTTGTGTCCAGCATTACTCTGTCCTAGATGCAGAATCCAGCACTTGGACTGGTTACATTTCATCCCATTCATCACTGTCCAGTGCTTCAATCTAACTCAATCCCTCTCCAAGGCCTCCTGGTCCTCCAAGAGTCAACAGCACCCCCCAGTTTGGTGTCATAACTTGCTTAAGGGACATTGGACTCCTGCATCCAAATCACTGGCAGACACACTGAACAACACTGGCCCTGAGGAACACTGCTGGTGCCCAGTCCCCAGCCAGTCACAGCCCATTCACTCTCTGAGCTCTGCTCTTCTGCCAGTTCTTCACCCAGCACACCATGAACCTGACCATCCCACAGCTGGCCAGCTTGTCCAGAAGGATGCTGGGAGGAACAGCATCAAGAGCTTTCCCAAGAACCAGAAAAACTGCATCCCCTGGACAGGGGACCTTATCACAGAAGGATATCAAAGGAGTTCAGCTGCACTTTCCCTTGGTGAACCCATGTTGACTGTAGCTGATGATTGGATTGTCCTTTAAATGCCTTTCAATAGCACCCAGTGTTATCTTCTCCATAATTTTGTCCAGGCACTGAGGTTGGACTCACAGATCTTTAGTTCCCTGGGCTTTCCTCAGATCCTTCTCATACACTGGACTAACACTGGGCAGCTCCCCATCAGCAGGGACCTCCCTAGATTTTCAAGACCTTTGGTGGATGATCAAGAAGGGTCCTGCTACAACATCCACCAGCTCCTTCAGAACTCTGGGGTGAATCCCATCAGATCCCCTGGACTTGTGCATGTAGAACTGATACAGCTGGTCCCTTACAACTTCAGTGTCCACAAAGAGAAAGTTACTTCTCCCGCAGTCATGATCCTCTATTTGTCCATGTCTATCACCTCGGAGAATGTAGAACTGATACAGCTGGTCCCTTAAACTTCAGTGTCCACAAAGTTACTTCTCCCGCAGTCATGGTCCTCTATTTGTCCATGTCTATCACCTCGGAGTGTCCCTGCTGGCACTCCTCATGCTGCCCTGGCATTTGTTGCAATCAGTAATGATAGAAAAACCCTTTTCCCAAGTATCTAAAGCCAGAACCTCAGATCAAAGGAATTAATTGTCTATAACTGGCATAACAATCCTGCTTCCCTGTATCGCACCATTCACCAAGCAAAGTAAGACTTGCAGGTTACCTTGGGGTTAAGCTCTGTTTAATTGTTTGAAGGATCTCTGCTTAGCTCTACTGTGTCTGAGCAACTACCTGCCATTATACCCATGGCCAAATGCAGGACATCACTTCTTCATTCCCTCTTGTGCCAGTGGGAAAAGCTGCAGCCCAGCAAGGCTGCAATGTTTGCTCCCCCTTCCACTTCCTGGGATGTTGTGGGAAAACAGCAGGGAGGAAACAAGGTATTTGCAGCTCATTCAGGGCAGCAGCTTTCCCAGTGGAAGTGCTAAATCAAAGGCTTCCTTTGGTGCCCTTCCTTTCATCCATCCCTGCTGCCAAATTCTGTCGTGCAAGAAGGTATCTTGGTCCTGCTGGCAGTGCAAGACCAGAAGGTTTAAGGAGTTACAGGAGCATTGGATCTCATTCAGGAAAGTCATCCAGGACCTTCTCAGACACAGGCAGCTAAAACAACACCCGTTGCAGACAACTTCCCGTGGACAATCCTGCTAGAGGCTGAGGGGAAACCAGAGCTGATGAATCAACAGGGTTTCCACCCTGCCTGCAACAGAGGGAAGTGATCTGTTTATCTGCTTTTCCTGGTTTATGTAGGTTTTAATCCACACCCACCTATTAGATGGGTACTTAGATCCTACACAAACGTGTGCTCACAGGAATTTCTTTAGATCCTGCCTCTGCAGGGGATTTTTCATCATTTCAATCCCATTTGATAAGAAAATAAGACTTAAAAATGATGCTCTAGTTTCCCAGAAATATCAATGTCATTGATAAATGTCAACCAAGTGTGGAAAACTGGAAGAAGTCTGAAAAATCACCAAATTTCTTCAAGCTTTAAGAAACTTCAAGCCTGGATAAGGAATATTTATCAATTTGTTTTTCTGCTGCAGGAAAGACTGAGATCTTTGGTTCTTCCCAGCAGCATGCTGGTAAATCAGGATGTGTATTTTGGTGCACCAACCAGCACTGGCCACAGCACATCTTTTACAGGCTGGAAAGACACAGACTGTGCATCAAAACACTTTTTAAAGAGAATTTTGTTTCCTTGAGCTGATAGTGGGATTAGGGAAAAGGACTTTCAGGTGCAGTCATTTAACACAACACAGTGGTCATGGCCACCTACTGTGGTGTTCAGGGTAGGAGATAACATGAGGAGGAAAGAGGCCTTTGTTCCAGACTAAAAGGCACAATAAACATCTGGAGTCCCTGAGAAATGGAAGTCCTGAAGATTTCCTCTGGAACACTGAAACCATCTCTGTATTTCAAACCTTTTCCAGCCAGTCATAAACACTAGGGCAGGTGTGAGGGGTAACTCACAGGCATTGCTGTCAGGGAAAGCTAGAGAAGATGTTTAGGAGAGAAGAAACAGTTTTGTAGGGAAGCAGATCTCATGAGCTCCAGCTCCCTCAGAAAAACTGTCAAGATGACCAAGTGACAACAGCCCTGTTGTCCTGTCAGTCCTGCTTAGGGCTGTGCTGTGCAGTTAGCCAGGAGCACTCAGCCCTCCAGTCACCACATTTTAATCACATCTACAGAAACCTTCCCTTGACACTTATTCCAATAACCCTGTTTTACAAGACCCTCATGCAGTAACAGCACTCCCATTTACACTCCATGAAGAGAAGGACCATGCTCTCTGTAAAAACCTCTAACCATGGGTGCCAGCTGAAGGAGCATCTGTGCTCTTTGTCCAGAACAATCAGGCACTTGGCTTTTCAAGGTCAAATCCTCAAAACCACAGATGTAGTAGCTCCGGATCTATCAGATTTGTAGCTGCAAAATGGAAAGGGACAAGCCCACCAGGAGGACCTCCCTCTCCTCAACTGATGAGATCATGAGAGAAGTTCAAACACGACCATAGACACATGTAGACAAGATGGAATCCACCAAAAGCCAACCCAGAAAGCCCTCACCCCAGAGCTGTGTACAAACACTGACACGTTTGCTCTGCAGGGAGGGAAACCACTGCAATATCTGATCAACTCAGCTGCTCAGTACCACTCAAAATAATCCCATAGTTCAGAAAGGTTCAACGTAACTTCTCCTATTCTCCTTATCTCAACTGTATTGGTTTTTCCTCAAAACTCAGTTAACTTTCAACCCCATACTGATATCATTCTACAAGACTTACCCACTTCAACCTGTTTTTTTTTTCTCTGGTATTGTGGCAACTTTGAATTTCTAATTAGATGATTTGGAAATCTGTCAGTAATACTGTTTTGTTAAGTTTGCTGACAGGAGGAACACTGGCATTACAATGTTAGAGCTACAAAAAGGATTTATAACCGAAAATGAACATGCAAATGTGATCTGGCTGCCAGGTTTCATCATAAACCCAGAACACAGACTGTGCAGCTTGGAAGTCTCTCTTCACATTTGAAAACCATCTCAGACTGAATTTCACAAGTCTGCTCAGACAAGTTTCCACCTTCCAGGCAACAAGGAAGGCCTTCCTGGTTTAGGCTAGTGGTGCCCAAACTTTCTATCTGGAGCTTCAGGAGCACTTTTCTGAGCCAGGACAGGCAGCACAGGACACCCAGTGCTCCAGTGAAGCCAACTGCACCAGTCCAGCTCCATATCCCAAGGTGCAAGAAGGGCCACAACAGACTTTGCCCACAGCAATGCTCCCAAGCTCTTGCTCCATCCTCCTCTCTCCTCACAGTTTTAGCCATTTCCTGTAGCCCCACGTGTACCCAAAATGCTGGCACAGCAGCAGTTACAGCCACCAACACCAACCACTGTCCAATGTCCAGAGTATTTTCATTTCTTCTTCACCACAGGCAGGGAAACACTATATCTTGCCCTATGTCCTAATCATGTATTTTCTCCTGCTCTGTACCCTCTTTCTGCACTCATATCACAAACTCATGGTCATTCCTACTGACTTTACCACCTAGATGAGGTTTCTTTATGAGCATTTGCCAGTTTGGCAATGATTTGGAAGCAGCAGCCTCTCCACAGGACAAGTTCTTGTACTGAGATTGTTCACACAGTCCTTATACTAAGCTCAGTTTCCAGAGGCTTGGTTCATGGC